AAAAAAAAAAAAAAAAAAACATTTTCGTCTCAAAAACAGGCAGGGTAGGTAAAATGACGTCACTTAATTTTTTCTATGCTTCACACCTACCGGTGTGAGACAACCTCCACCCGCTTTGAAACAAATCCATGCTAGGTTTCAACTCTAGATCGGCATCAGCTGGACGCATTTCTGCCAAACGGAACTTTGTGCAATATGACGTGACCCCTGTTATTCATATATTCTTAGGAGTCTCAGGGCTCATATCAAATAAGTTCAGTTGTGAAACAACGAAGTTCAGTAATGCCATTTTATTCGCCCCTCTTGTGGGTCCAAAAAATCAACCGAGTCTTCTCGAAAAAATTAAACTATGAAATACTTCAATGGCATTTTCTGGACCTTTTTTATTCATTTTGTCGGAACTATTTCTAAAGATCTACCGGGATGTTTGTCCTGTGTTTAAAACTTGGGGATTGGTAGAATCATTTCGACGAAGTTCTAAAGGAAGAAACCAACACCTCATCAAGTTTAAATTAGAAAACTTGGTTTGAGGATTCATTATTCCATAAACTTGGATGTAAAACTCAATTTTAATCCCCCCCCCCTTTTCTCATACTGATCATTTTACTTAGATTTCAATGATTGAAAACAGCATTTTCTTCCTCGAAAATTGAGTAAACAACTCTCGTCAGCTCAGCTTTGTTCTAAAATCTGGCTTGATTCCTTTCTACTTATTTACTTCCGAATTTTAAATCATGACGATCCACAAGAAGAGAAATTCTATTCCACAAAGGCAACATTTTATGCCACGTCCTTCGTGCCGAGTTGTATACGGCACACGGTGGATTGAGTTAGTGGGAGAGGTCGGACAAAAATTGGAAACTTTAAAGGCTTATAATTCCGTTGAATCAAAACATTTAGATTTTAAAATTGGTTCCACTGCTTTCTTCGTGAACTTTCCTTCTGGAAGCTTCCATCAAAATTTACAATGTGACGCATTAGACATCGAAATTTACAGTTTTAGTCAAGAATTTCATGCTTGACCTCTCTGATTGACTCGATTCACTGTGCGGCAGTTGCATTTTGAGATTTGGACGGAGACCCCGCCTAAAGCCCTAACTTTAGTAGAATTTGTGAGGGCTTTATTACGAGTAGCATATATGCATTTTAATCTGGCAATTTAGAGGCCCGGGTAAGACGGATTACAGTTGAACAGCTCTAATAAGAATCAGTCTAACTGCAGTTCACATTGTCAGATTTTCTCTCCAATTTTATTTTTGAGGTTTTTTTTTATGATTTTATCAGGGTAATTTTGCCTTGAAATTTTGAGAAAAACTTCTTAGAATTATAGAAGGTATTTCAAAATCATTTCAATGCATTCAGTTGCTTATAAATTTTATGAATAGTCAAAATACGAGAGGCAATGGGCAACGTCAAATACAGTTTGACAGAGTATGGTCCAACCAGCTTAGCTTTAATTGGATTGGCTTTTGCAAAAAGGAAACACTAGCATTACAATGATGCTAAGATTATGCAACTTCATATTTTGCAATAAAATTGCGGAAATCGTGAAAAACTATGACATTTAAATGGTAATTTTTGTCTTAAATTTACAGTTTTTAGCGAGTAAAATAGAAACTACTAATGGATAATCGGGTTTTTCCTCCAAGACAAAAGAAGTTGCACAATCTTAGCAACATTGCAATGTTAGTGGTTCCTTTTTGCAAAATGTAATCCAATTAACTCACAACTACATTTCCTGAAGTGTATTCATCGAACCGAAAGTTTGGTTCGAGATTTTTAATAGGCTTTCCAGCGTTTTTCGTACCAACATATTCGTGGAATAAACCCCCATGCTCTGGTATCGTTTTTTCAGCATTTAATTTTTATAGAGTATGATTACTTTCACGTGGTTGGTCACATGTTATGAAATCTAGAGCGCAGACATGTGCTGGACGGCCTACTGGTGATGTGAATATTATGAGCTGCCCGGTTTAGTTGAAGAATGGGTGCTACCAAGAGAGTGCCAAATGAGCACCATGAAGGTACAGATGGTGGTGACGAACAGAAAAATGTACATTTTCGCGTCTTATCGATCGGATTTTTCCAAAGTTGAGTCTTGTTCGGCATGAAGTAGTATGTGCTGCTCCGTCTATAGACCTCAATGTCTAATAGGCCAATGTGGATGATGATGGCAATATGCAAAAAGGAACCAGAGTTTTTTGGTAGATTAGAGGTAGCGTGCACTGTAAAAAGAAGTAGCTTAGACGATGTATGCCACTTATTTAGATCAGATTTCCCTGAAATTTTAGACATTTTAAATCGCCGCCTGCGAAATTGTTCCAAAATTTAAGGAAAAAATTAGGGCCATTTCTTCCGAATTTTGCAAGACGTTTATTTTGACAACTTATAGCGTTTAGTAAACGATTTTATTTCTTACAGTGTAACTTCGAATATCATTGAGACAATACATTCTATCAACAGCTAAAAAGGTGACCTCCATTTTCCTTACAAACTCGGTTTCCTTGGCATAATACCATACATCGTTGTTCTCAGACAAAGGAACGTAAATGATTCCGATGATGTATATTGACTCAACCAATTTTAATTTTACACATGGATACAGAGACAAGAGACCCTCCATTATTATATTGGTAATGGTGGAAGCTTTAACTTTCAGGACTGCAACGTTCACCTGTTGACCTAACTACAAGGTGGATGTTGAATAATAATTTGGGTATTTAATTTTACAAACATACCAAAATTTGGCAAGCTTGTTATGCTAAGTACGTCACTATAAGCTAATCATCCACTTATATAGTAAGTATGATGACTGTTGCTCCCTTATAATTGTCCATGAGGAGGTGCTGAATCTCCGAAAGTAAAAGTTTCCGCCAGTCGCGAAGAGGCCAGTGGAAGGACTTTTGTCTCTGCACGAATAAAACATTGCATTTGTCTTCAAAATTTTACTGATTTCTGTGTGTAATCAGTAGAGAAATAGGTAAATTTTTTAGGTAAATATTCTCTAAAGTCTCCCTGTAAAATTATAATTTAAGAGTGAATATTTGGCAACAATGAAATGAAGATACGTTCCTTTGTCTAGAAAACGAAGAGACGTCTTTGTGACGACAAAACCCCAAAATAGCCGCCTCGCCACCACTCTCTGTATTTTTTCTACCGGTGAGCACTTAGGCCGGAGATCGAACCTGCACGCTGCCCTACTTAGGAAAAACGCCGTATGAGACATCAGACGTTGCCAAATTTTCTTCAACAAATCAAGAATTCTCAAGAAAATTTGCGAGGATTTCTCTCCTAATTTTTCAGAGGATTCCGTTCGTAATTTGGACCGCGTTAAACAGAAACGAACCAAGCCACAACAGCTATTGCCAAATTTAATCGGGAAATTTAATTTTTCACATAAAAACGGCTGTGCGTATTTTTGTGCAAATTTCTATGAATTTCCTCTATAATACAAAGCAAAGTCCTAAAAGTTTTCAAAGGAATCCGAACAAACGTTCTCTCGTAAAAAATCAAATTCCCCTGTTAAATTCGGCAACATCTGATGTGGCTTGGTTCCTTTCTGTTTGGTGCGGTCCATTGAATCTTAAAAATATGAAGAGTTCAAGAAACTCATAACTCTCCCCAAAAATAATTCTTTTCTAAGACGTGATTTGGCAATATTCGAGCACGCCGATCATACGCCGTTTTTGCTTCGCACGGCAGCACGCTGCGGAGGCATCAACTGCGTCAGCGCATCACGCGGCAAGTTTTCTGGGCTCCTCGGAAGGTCTCCAGCCGGTGAATCACAGGACCGTGTCCAGAGTTTCTAAGGATTGCAGCACCCGCTCGTCCCGCGAACACCATTCCACTAGCTCGTCTATCGTCACCACCCCATCTTTGTTTGTGTCTATCAGCTGAAACAGGGAAACATTCTTTTTATACAAGTGAACCCAGAAATGGACTTATCAGTTACGCACAGAGACAATATATTTAAGAAACCCGCTTGCATTAACAATCAAAGCAACAAGTGAATTTCCGCGGGATCGAGGGATGTGTTCAACTTTTTCTAGAGTCCCTTTATACTGAGAGTCAAGACAACACCCCCTCATGGAGTCACAAACGGGAATAAAGATTACAGAAATTGAACGTTTTTTGTAATCTTTTATCGGCCCGTTCTCAGATTCCTTTCTCCGTCCCTTCTCTCATTCCGTTCGTTCCTTGCCGAACCCGTAATTCTCTGGTCCATTCCAGATTATAATCTTTGCAATCGGTGAAAATTTAATCTTTATTCCCGTTTGTGACAATGTGAAGGCCTAAAACACGGGAACCAATCAGAAATGGATTCACGTTGTCTTGACTCTCAGTATAAAGGGACTCTAACTTTTTCAACCAAATCGGCAGAGGTTGAAAACCAATAGAGAAACATGCTATGCTGAGGTCAAGAACTAAACTCAGTTGATGTTTGTACTTTTTCCAACGTGTATCCGTTTTTTAATGAGGTGGGTCGAGAATTGTATATGATCGTCATTGTTGCCCATATGAAAAATCAAGTAGGCCGTTCTGCTGAATGGACACAACCACCATCTCTTTCCTGTCTCCTCCTATTCCTTCTCTTCCTTCCCCTCTTTTTCTTCTTCTAATTTTTCTAGTAATACGTCTACCAGTTTTGATTTAGAAGACCTAAGGCTGCTTGTATCGTCCCCTTCCGGCCAAAGTATCACAAGCACCATGCGACGTTTCAAAATTTCCGCCACCACTTTATTTTTTTACTGACAAATCATTGGTTGAATCTGTTTGAAAGTCCCACTGAATTTTAATGACAGCACAAAGAAAATTCAGCAAACATTTTGGACAGCCTAGTTGAACAATTTCCCTGTGAAAAAATAAAATTGCGGCGTAAATTGTTAAACGTTGCATGGCGTTTGTGATATTTTGACCGGAAGGTGGAAATATGCAGCGCAAACAGCACTGAAAGTTACCACATCAAAACTTCGTAGGTCGCGGTCGGACCATCATAAAACGCCTTCAAATGCGTGTGATACTGTGCAACACATCAGAGTTGATATAGTTGTATTCTTAGGTTGCGACCTAACTCGAGTAAATTGCTCCATCAAATAAGGCATGTTAACCTGTTAACTGCTGTATTCAAGTTACCTCGCATGATTTTTGCCCTAATTGTCTATGAAAAAAATTTAGGGTTAAATTGATTTGAAAAAATAGAATTAACACAGACATGTGGCCAAAGAGAAAGGGTCACCGGAGGAAAAACCTGTTCTTGAAATTTTTATAGTTTTTAAGCGTGCCCAAAATATACCATGAGGTATTTTTGGACGGGAAACTCGATTTTGAAACTCGGGGGGTGTCGATATGTAGAGGAGGGTTAAGAAATGGCTATGAGCAGTGAGCATGGCGCAGTAAAGCGCCTTAAATCCCTCGGATAGGCAAAAGCGGGCCCTTAGGAGCCGCAATAGTGGTATTCGCGAGTGACGGACCTGGAATACCCTCTCGACGTGCTCTTTGGCGGTATTCTCGTCTATCTGCGGCTCGGTGTTGCGGCCGAGCATGTCGTAAATGGACACGGCCACCATTTCCATTTCCTTCTTCGTGATGAGACCGTCTCCGTTCAGGTCGTAGAGCCCGAAGATCCACTGCAGCTTCTCCTGTACGCTCCCACGGGACACCTTTGATAGGATCCCAAGGAAATCCTGAAACATCAACAGCTATCGTTAGAGTTTGGAAAAGTTCCTGTACATAATGCAATATGCTGTGAGCGAAGATGCGACGAAATTTTGTAAATTTAAGACGAGAAGCCCGGGAGTTTTCAATGTTTTAGAAAAAATTACTCATGAAATCTACGAACTCTGTTTGTTCCCTCCTCTTCAGATGTTTCATGATTTAAAATGTTAAAATTATGAAAAATTCTGTGGTTTAGGACATGCCGCAAATTTTAAGATGAACTCAGAATAAAAAATCTGTTTAAATGATAGTCATGCATGTGTCAGCAAAGGGATACGCTGTTTCGTGCAACACTAATTAAGACCATTCGAAGTTGCGAATATTTTCGTTTGAAATTTGCAAATAATTTAGATCTGATCGGAAATAAAATTCCCAAAAAAATTCGAGGAAAAATACTCAAAAATTTCCCTGAAAATTTATATTTTATCGAAGAAGGTTTGGCAACGTATGAAGGCTCATACGGCATTCTTCCTTAGCACGGCAGCATAGCCCTTCACTGAAAAATAAATTCTGGGCGTTTTTACCAAGGTCCGTTGGTACCTTTACCATCTCACTTTTTTTACCAATTATTGGTAATTTTACCAAGACAGACTGGTAAGCTTACCTAAAAACCGGTATTTTTACTGTTTTTTTTTCGGGTAGGAATACCACTTTTATTGGTAATCAATTCCCGGTAACTTTGCCATTTTATCTGGGTAATTCTATACCACATAGTCGATAAAAAATATTGGCGTTTTTACCAAGGTCCAGTAAAATTACCGAGAAAGTTCAATAACTTTACCGAGACTTCTCGGTAAAATTACCAAATCCATAAATGATAATTTTACCAAGAAAAAACTGGGATCAAATAGAACCCCGAATTCTTGGTAATTTTACCCTTTTCTTGGTAAATACACCGAGATTTTTTTTTCAGTGTTTGTCTACCGATTACATTTTATCGAAAGCACAGGAGTGAAAGTGCCGATTTGGGATAGTTCAAAAATCGCTGCCACTCAAGCGGTGCGAAACAAGTTACCGCCTTCATGTCGTTCTCCTCGTGCAAGCTTAGCCGGTGATGTCCATCCATAACATTTGAGCCACTTCCTTCCTGTCAGAGTGCCAATTTTCACTGTATCACGCTTGTCCCACATTTGGGTTTCAATCACAACCATTGCCAGGAACCCACCCCCTCCTCCTGTCTCTCTCGCTTCTTTGTTTCTTCTGACTTGACTTGGAGACATGCTGAGCTGATCTGCCGTGCTAAGGAAAAACGCCGCATGTACCCTCAGGCGCTGCCAAATTTCCTTCGATAAAATACGAATTTCCTGGTAAAATTGGTGATATTGTTTGCACTTGATTTTCAAATATCTAAAAATTTGAAGGAAAAATGTGCGCAACTTCCTTCCAAAATTAACATTTTATCAGAGGAAATTTGGCAACTCTCGAATGTTCATACGGCGTTTTTGCTTAGCATGGCAGTGATGTGTACCGCGTTAAGCAGAAAGGAACCAAGCCACCTCAGCTATTGACAAATTTAATCGGGCACATCCATTTTAGCGGCTCTGGTGCTTGCACTAGAGCTGCTATTCCGGACGGTCCCAGCTGGGGAGCATCAACGGACCATGTTACATTGGAGAGACCGCGTGTTGGTTGATGGGAATCGGCGCCATTTTCTGCTGTTTAGGGGGGACTGATTTTATTTTAATTGATATCTTTTTCCTGTGAGCGAATGCTATGTTGTGTAGTGTATTTTTGGAATCATGGTGATACTGTCAATAATTCAAAACGGGTCTGTGCTTTAATCTCGCACTGGAAAAAATGTACTTTACGTTTAAAATTTGAAAATTCAAATCTATAAGTTTTCGCGCTTTTTTCGAAGAATGCCGTGGTTGGAGCTTCCTAGTCATACTACTCGACATCAGCTGATAGCAAACAAAGGTTACCAAGGAAACCGTAAACGCGTAACAACTACCTACCGTCGCCAGAGCCGCTTTCCGACGCGAATGCGTTGGAGCTTCCTGCTTGTTTTTACATGAAAACGTTTTTGCGGATTATTGTGCAAATTTCGGTGAATTTTCTACCGAGTGCGAGGCAAGTTTCTTAACATTTTCAAAAGAATCCGCAAATACTTTCTCTTGTAAAACAATAAATTGACCAATTAAAGTTGGCAATACCTAATGTGGCTTGGCTCATTTTTTCTAAACGTGGCCCATAAGAAGGTGTCACTCATTTGAGCGATTATCCTCAATCTTGTCGCAAATTTATCTCCATAAAATCGCGCTCGATGAAATAGGAATTTTATAGAAATTTATCGCGAAAAATCGCCGTCGATAAAATCGCGATACATTCTCCAATCGGATCGCAACTTGTCGCGATCACTGCGTGGGTATGTACAAACAGAGTTTTGAAAAAACGCGTATCCTGTGAAAAAATTTGAAGGAGCAAACGTTCTTTTTCAAGATTCTTCTTTTAAATAGATTCTTCCTCGCTCATGGCGGCGTCCACTTTTAAATGTTAAAACCTACTTAGAAAAATCGACGGAGGGAAATGGGATTTGCAGGCGAACTTCTTTTTTATCGCAAAAAAGTTTCACTTTCTCAATCCAGAGGGCGCAGCTGTGATGATTTCGATTCACTCGAAGCTTTTATTGTCAGGAGCAGAGTTTTTAAAATAGGTTCTCACAACATGACTGCAGTTGAATTCGGATGAAAAAAAGTTGGTAGGTAAACTTAGAAGGAAAATCTCATTATCTGATGACTAGTGTTGCAAAATTTAAATATAAATGTTTCTTCGTGAGGAGGATCGCTAAGGATTAGTCCAGAGAAAAGTTGCGAGTAAGCGATAAATTTTAAAAAGTTAAACTTTCGGAAGTCTAGCGGAAGTTCACGATTCGAGCGTGTATTTTCAGGGTTCATGTTTACCCTTAATCAGAAAGTTCATCGTGCCCAAAGTCTGGCGTGAGTAGATACGGGGCATGTGGGACATACTGTACGGAACGTATGGCTTAACGAGTACGGCTAATGTACCAAAAATAAAGAAAGAAACGAATTATAAAGCAACAGGAATAAAATATGAACTCACCTCGAAACTTATCTTGTTACTTTGAGAGTGTTTAATGGTATTGAACACGTAATGCGCATACTGCGTCGCATCTGTGGCAAAAAAATTAAATATTAAAACAAAATTTTGGTCATGAATGATTGAGTTTCAAGTACCACTTCTCCGATAAAATATTAAACTCTAAAAGTCGATCTGCCACAGAGTTTGTCCGTGCAATTATTATTTTCCATGCAACAGGCACACACAATATGTATTAGTAGCGCAGAACGCGAACCGGCGCCTACAAACCTAACGGGATACTTCACGCGTTGCGCAATGCGTGAAGTATCCCGTTAGGTTTGTAGGCGCCTTATCGACGGTGAAACTGCAAAAAGGCGTATCTCGCTATCGGTGTTTCGAAATTTACGCTCCAATTTTATTTTTCAAAAGGGACCGAAGTAAATTTACGGCTTGAAGTTTTCACAGAATGTTTTTCATGAAGAGAAGAAAAATCACTGAAATGTTTAAAAAATGACGTTCAGTATTTCTCCATGTAAAAGATAATACATGACTGGAAGGATGCAACGCCGCAAAGCGAGGTATGCATTTCTGCAGCTCCATCATCGATATAGACGCTATTATTTTTTGCATTTCAATGAGAAGATACACACTGGATTACTAGTTTTTCTTCATACTTATGAATATATGAACTCGCTAAATGAGTGTGTATTTAGAAAATGAACCAAATATTAATGTTCTATCTTTAATTTTAAATGTTTAAAAAACGTTTTTAATCATAAGTTACTAAATGCCTACTTTAGACAAGGCGACGGATTTAAAAAAGCGAAACATTTTTTAGTCCTCAAAATTAAGTTGTTAATATCAAAACACATAGAACTGTTTAACTAAAATTTTAAAATTAAGAACGACCAAAAAATTCAAACTAAATTGGATTAATCTAAATCTTGATCAAAGTGAGCGGCTCAAAATACGTAGTTCGGAGGGCAATCTATTAGAAGTTGGACGTATGAACCATGCAAAAATTAATAAAATAAAAAATTATTATGTGCATAAAGTTGGCTTGCTACATGGGTTCTTTTGATTTGATTCATTTACACTAAGTACTCCTGGGCACAAATACATTTAATTGTAATCATCTACCACGTTCATGGTATAGTATCTCCGTATGATGAGGCAATTTTATACCGTTTATTTGGCACAAAAAAGAACCGAGCTCCTTGCAACTTATTTTTCAGGCATTATTTGACATTTTTGATGAACTTGAAAACCGATTTTTTTATTTGACACCACAAAAATCGCTTCACTACATATTTGGATTACATTCTGCAACAAGGAACCGCTGTCTCTGGCTCCTCCATGAAATCACCTTATTCCATAGAGAAACCATGGGCACTTATTAATTGCATTTTACAAAAAGGAGCCAAGAGCATTCCAATGTCGCTAAGATTGTGCAACATTGTTTGCCTTTCAAATATACATAGATTATCTGAACTGATTTTATCCTTACTCCTAATAAACTATAACTTAAAGACGAAAATTACCTTTGAAATTTTTGCATGATTTCAGTAATTTATTGAACGGATATAAGATACACAATCTAAGCAACATTTGAATGCTCTTGGTTCCTTTTTTGCAAAATTCAATCGATATGTTGTTCCTAAAATGAGCCGGAAACAGTGGTTCCTTATTGCAAAATGTGGTCCATTTTCCCTTCGTGGATTAAACCCCCCGGGGTTGGCGATGAACTAATCGTTGATTTTGGACAGAAAATCTACATTGTACAGTATTTTTTCGACAATAGAGTCAGTTGGAATCGATCTTTGTAGTTTCTTTTAAAGTTAGGAGATCAGACTTATAATGCTCTCAAAAAAACATTTTTTGCTTTGATTCAATTTAATACTCCAGCATAGAAATAAAGCTGAAAACCATTTGTTGCTTTCGTGCAACGCTATGCAATAAAGGGTTAAAACCTTTTAAGGCTGTGAGTCTCCGAACTAAAATCGGCAACAATGCGGAAATAATTGAATGTTTCGTTTATTATTCAGGCCGCAGCTTGCGGTTAGTAACGCTGCCAATCTCCGAAGAGTTCCAAGAGGGACTCTCATTTGAGCTAATGAGGTTTCATTCAAAATTTTACAACATTGGTGGCGAGATGCATCCGGAAGCTGCGCTGACCGCAGGAACTTTCGCAAAAGTTCGATACATTTTTAAAAGCTCGCTACGCTGGCTGAAATCCCAGAGACCACCAGTGGCGATGATCGAGTATCGATATTTTCCCATTTGAAGCTATAGTAAAGTATTGATTAGTAAGATGACCGTGTTTATCGATCCTTTTACGTAGGTTTAAATGGTAGATCAATCGATATATCGCAAAGCACGCCACGCCACTGGAAACCACTGACGCGATGATCCGCCGGAAGAAGGGTAGAGCAATAGGCTATATAAGGAGCGATTATAAATTAAAGAACACTTCGAGGGATGCTGCTAGGGAAAAACATCATATGAACTTCCGGACATTGGCAAATTTAATGCGATAAAATGCGATATTTTTGAAGATACTTGTGGATATGTTTCCTTAAAATGTTCAGGTAATTTTAATTAAATAAAAAATAAATTCGGAAAGTTGTTTAATCGTATATTGTATCTATGTATCGCAAAAAGCTCTGGAAGTTGAGGCCGTAATGGAGGGGATATCCCACGCAATCCTGAGAGTCCACTAATATCAAGTCAAACTCTCCATGCAAAGATAGGGAGCTAATACATTAAAAGGGTTGCCACTGTGCTCGGGGACTTAAAAACTGAAAAAATGGCAACCCTGCTAATTTAAATGCTCCCTTTCTTTGCATAGGGAGTTTGATATTGGACTATCAGGGAAGAGTGGGATATCCGCTCGCTTACAGCTTCAATTTTAGAGCTGTTTTTGAGCTTTGGAGTTCGTTTCAGAGAGAACCGGATTCACCTTCCGGAAAATTTTTCGTAGGAATCACTTTTAAAATCGCACACTGGTAAAAAAAACCTCTTGGACCAATGCCGCGGTGCATTGACTTAAGAGTGCAGTTTCTTGTCGCCGGATTTAAGAGTCTTGAACTCTTGTTTCAAGCGGATTTTGCATTGATTCAAGCGGATTTTGCATTGAAACAAGAGCCCAGACTCTTAAATCCGGCGACAAGAAACTACACTCTTGAACCAAGAGGTTTTTTTTACCAGTGCAAATTTCCCAAAAATGCAAGAGCATCATTGAAAATATTTATCTTTTAGTAAAAACTATAGAGTTGAAACAAATTACTTAGTTACGTCCATGTATCGTGGTCCATTCTCCGTGATTTTACAGCACGGTTCCAGTACCGTCAAAATCAGATCAACTTTCTGTGAGCAGTATTTTTTATGAGATATTGCAACCGTTTTACCCGTATGTATGAAACCATTAGAGAGGGAAAATAAACGAGGGAGCACGTAGCGGTATAAAATTAGGAATCACAAGGGAAGTAAAATTAATCGAAGTGTTGCAATAGATGCCCTCTCTTATTCTTTGCTTTCTGTTTGTTTCTATGGCCGGCGGGAAAGAGTCAGAGAAACGTACAACAGTAGCGCGGCGTGCTTTGCGATAAAATCGATTAATGCGCCATTCAAACCTATGAAAAAGGATCGATCGCGAGATCGTTCGCAACGAACACCATGATTATCGATTCTTCACTATAGCTGCAAATGGGAATGTGTCGATAGTCAATTACTACGCCTCGCCATTGGAAACGTAAGGAGCATTTTTTGATGGGAAGCTTTTATTAGGGTCAGATTGCGTGTTCGTAAAAGGAATACGAGGGAAATGAATTTTGATTGGGGATATGTGATGTAGATCAATATAGAATTTCGACTCTTTTTGGTTTCGATACGCGCATTAACGTTATGACCACAATACCTTTATCCCTCCTTAGATATCAATATTACATAGTCCTTTTATACGGAATTCTCCTATTAGACTTTATCGTTTAACGATATACTCAATCCTTCTTTAAGCCTGTTATATGTATCTCGCTTTCAAGATAATAAGGACCGCATTAAGCAGAGAGGAGCCAAGACATATCAGCTATTGCCAAATTTAATTGGGCAGTTAAATTTCGTACATGAAACCGGTTGGGCGGATTTTTGTGCAATTCTCCGTGAGTTTCCTGCATAGTATGAGGCAAATTCCTTAAACTTTTCAAAGGAATCCGCACAAACGTTCTCTTGTAAAAAATTAAATTATCATGTTGAATTTGGCAATAGCTGATGTGACTTGGTTCCTTTCTGCTAAACGCGGTACATACATGATAGTATTCTGGCTTGTAACCTTTATGCATAGCCGTAGTTGTATTTGGCTTGAAAAAATGAAACCCGCACGAATCTCCTTCAAAAAACCCGCTATGCAATTCCTACACGCAGAATCTAGATGCATCTTTCAGTTTTTTTCCTCGCTTTTATTAAAACTTATTGTCAGTGATCTTAATGAGATTTGAAATTTTGCGGCAAAATTTCATAGATTTACATGAATTGCACTTTCCAAAAAGGAACCAAGAGCATTTCAATGTTGCTAGGATTGTGCAACTTACATTTTTTGCAATACAGTTACTGAAATCATGCAAAAAATTAAATTTACCGAGGAAATTTTCGTCGTGAATTTATAGCTGATTGGGAGTAAAGATAAAACTTCTTTAGGTGATCAATTAATATTTGCAAGGTAAACATGGATGCACAATCTTAGCGAGATTGGAATGCTCTTGGTTCCTTTTTGCAAAATGCAATCCATATAATGCTCCTAGCTATCGATGGTCAGCTGATAAAATTTGTTAAAAAAAAAAAAAAAAAAAAAAAAAAAAAAAAAAAAAAAATACAAGAGAAAAATATTTAAGAATCATTCCAAAAACTCCTGATTCGCCAGAAGAAGTTCAGCAACGTCTAGAGGCTCATACGACGTTTTTCCTCAGCACGGAGGCATACAATCTTGTACCAATGTAGTTTCTTCTTTAACCTCCTTATGGAGGTCCTTCAGAGAGAACTAAAACCGTAACAAGATAAAGACGCATAAGGGAGGCAAGTCTACAAGAAAGACACATGGCAAACATACTGAGTGTTCCCATCTTTAATAACTCCATTCCTCATATCATAGTAATCCCCCACCCCTCCCGTCACATAGAGCTCAGACTACACTGCCGCGCTAAGAAAAAACGCCGTACAAGCCTTCGGATGTTGCCATATTTCCTTCAATAAAATTCAAATTTACAGACAAATTGTGAATATTTTCATACAAATTTTTCCGAAAATTTTGTTCGCACTCTCCTCAAATTTCTGGAAATTTGAAGGAAAAATATGCATAACTTCCTTCCAAAATGAACATTTCATTGGAGGAAATTTGGCAACCCTCGGATGTTCATACGGCGATCTTCCTAAGCACTGTAGTACACTCCTGCCTTGCCTTGGGGCATTCCGGAAGATGGAGTGTACGTCCCCACGTTGATGCCTTGTAATGAAGCAGCTCGCAAACTGATAGCCAACCAATTTGTCATATTTTCCCCTCCGGCGCTACATCGCGGATGAGATGGCGAGGGGGCGGGGAGGGGGGGGGAGAATTATCGTCCGTGCCGGGTCAGAGATCGCCGAGGAAATCAAAAGAATGGTTGGACAGGATTCCATCCTCCTGGGATATGTCCGACTTAATTGATCTTGTGTGGGAGTCCTTTAGGGCTATTTGGAGGACGGTTAAATTAATTAAACAGCAGTGCGCTGAAGGACATGAGAAATTCTGGTTGGACGTATTTCTGCTAAACGGAACTTTAGACGAGTGAGAAAGATGGGGTGTGCTCTGAAAAAATGTATATGAAACGATGCAAAAATGGGCGGGACTCCTTTTGTGGAACTGTGAAAGCGAGATTTTACATTCTACCAAACGGAACCATGCTGCCATTCTACGGGAAAACGCCGTATGAACCTTCAAACGTTGCCAAATTTACATTTCCCAAACACGAGTTCCCTGGTAAACTTATAACCTGGTATATTTTCCCTCCAATTTCTCAGATAATTTTGTTTGCAATTTCACTAAAGTTCCTGAAAATTTCAAGGGAAAATATTCATAAATTTCCTCAAAAATAAACATTTTATTGAGGGAAATTTGGGAACTCTAGAACGTTCATACGGTGTTATTCCTTAGTACGGCAGTATGCGGCACTCATGATTCATTTGTGTACCGCTTATCCATGTTTCACGAACAATAGGCTGAGACACAAAAAAAAAGTGTTGTGGCTATCCCCTAAAATTGTGGTGCTATCCTAATTTGTTGGATGAACTTAATTGTGGCAGTAACGCAACTCAAATTTGGGTAGTACCATTTGAGCTAGTAACCTAATTTATTTGGGTATTACCACAATTAATTGGGACGATACAGAAATTCGTTGGAAATGCCCATGTCATACAACATCTACCTCTTTCATACTGTCGTGCTCGGGAAGAACACCGTATGAACATTTGAGAATTGCCAAACTCCCTTCGATGGAATGTTTATTTTTAAGGAAAGTTATGAGTGTTTTTCCTTGACATTTTCAGGAACTCAAGGTAAAATTGCGAACAAATTTATCTAAAAAACTGGAAAAAAAATATGTATAAGTTTACCAGGGAAATCGCGTTTTATTAAAGGGAATTCGGCAACGCCTGAGGGTCCATACGGCGTTTTTTTACAGCGCGGAAGCATACGTCAAATTGCCGCTCCTCTGACGTAAGGGGTATGTTATCTCGACTTCCGCATGAGCCCTATACTGCCATGCTAAGGAAAATCGCCGTATGAACATTCGAGAGTTGCCAAATTGCCTCCGATAGAATTTTTATTTTTGAGAATTGTTATCAATATTTTTCCTTGAAATTTTTAAACTATTAAACTAACTTACGAAAGGAGATCCCTAAAAAATCGAAAGAAAAATGTTTATAAGTATTCCTGGAAATTCGTGATCTATTGGAGGAAATTTGGCAACACCCTAAGAGTCATACGGCGTTTTTTCTTAGCCCGGCATTAGGAGCATGGGCTTATAATTTAAACAGGGCTCACGTAGAAATTGAGGCAAGCCCTTATATCAGAGAAGCGACAAAATATCTCCATTTCCAGTGGCGTGGCGTAAATAATCGATTATCGATATTTACCCATTTGAGTCCGTGGTAAAGAATCGATCATTAAGATTTTCACTGCGGACACCCTGTTAATTGATCCTTTTCTATAGGTTTACGACATGATTACTCATGTCGTCAGTGGCGTGGCGTGAATTGTGAGATATTGATTGTTATGCCTGTAAATCTTAAATAGAGGGAAAACACACTCAAAACGTTTCCCGCGAACTACGCGCTCATTCTCAAAGGGAACAAAAGCTATAAACACAAAATGTGTGTGCAGGAATATTGTTTTCACTCCTAAAATCCGTCATTCCATCGATCTTGTGCTCCAAACTACGTGCGGCAAGACAGTCCCGGTATCGGAACTTGGCAGATTTGAAAACGCCTTCAATTGTGGCGTGATACCACCTGCATTCCGGAGAGTACGAATAGTTGTATGATTGCGCCTTACCAACGAGACGGAAGATTATCATTGAGAAAACACCCACGCTGGTCGTGATGGATTTTCTTTGTCATTTTTGGTGTCTTAATTGCACGATCACGGGTTTATTTAATACTACGGGCCGATCCCGATCAGTGGCGTGGCGTGAATTACGATATACCGATTGTTACGTCATTTAAACCTATGGAGAAGGATTGATTAACAGGGCGTTCGCAGCGAACACATCAATAATTGATTCTTTACCATGGGTTTAAATGGCATAACAATCGATGCATCGCAATTCACGCCACGCCGCTGCATGTCGTACACATCGCAGAATGTGAGGTCTTAGGCAGAAGCGTGGCGTAAATGATCGATTATCGATATTTCCCCATTTGAATCCATGATAAGGAACCCTGAAAAAAAATTCTCGGCATTTTTACCAAGGTCCGTTGGGACCTTTACCATCTCACTTTTTTTTACTAATCATTGGTAATTTTACCAAGACAGACTGGTAAAATTACCTAAAAACCGGTATTTTCACTGTTTTTTCCAGGTAAGAATACCACTTTTATTGGTAATCGATTCCCGGTAACTTTACCATTTTATCTCGGTAATTCTACCACAGTCGATAAAAAATATTGGCGTTTTTACCAAGGTCCAGTAAAATTACCGAGAAAGTTCAATAATTTTACCGAGATTTCTCGGTAAAATTACCAATCCCATAAATGGTAATTTTACCAAGAAAAAACTGGGATCAAATAGAACCCTGAATTCCTGGTAATTTTACCCTTTTCTTANAAAAACCGGTATTTTTACTGTTTTTTCCAGGTAAGAATACCTTTTTTATTGGTAATCGATTCCCGGTAACTTTACCATTTTATCTCGGTAATTCTACCACAGTCGATAAAAAATATTGGCGTTTTGACCAAGGTCCAGTAAAATTACCGAAAAAGTTCAATAATTTTACCGAGATCTCTCGGTAAAATTACCAATCCCATAAATGGTAATTTTACCAAGAAAAAACTGGGATCAAATAGAACCCTGAATTCCTGGTAATTTTACCCTTTTCTTAGTAAATACACCGATATTTTTTTTTCAGTGTAGCGTGCCGTGAATACTCGATTATTAATTTTTCCCCAGTTGAATCCATAATAAAGAATCGATTATTAAGATGTTCACTGCAAACACCCTGTTAATCGACCCTTTTCCATGGGTTTAAATGACAGATGAATCGATATATCGCAAAGCACTGCATTTCTCCGGGAGAGCGGCAACCCGGGCTCCTCTCATAATCTGCATTCAATCTGAGCCTTGAGACCTGGCGGAGCACCTGCACATATCCGGGAATCCCGCGGGATCAGGGATGGAACGAGGGTCGGGGGAAAGGGGGGGGCAGGGGGCAGAGGGGCAAGGGGGTAGGAGGGCAGGGAGGCAGGGGGGCAGGTATAGCCGGGGGCTCTCAAGACGCAGCGTGCGCCGCGTCCTTATAATTCGCCAGCGGTAGCGACTCATTGGGTTATTCAAACAAGATGCAAACAAAAGCCGAACACGCTCCACGCTTTATTTATCTCCTATCAAATAAAAGCGGAGCCAATCAAGCCGTGGGCTCCACGAATGTCCGGGCAACGGCTCCTGCTCCTCGATTGTTGAATCGATATCGAATAACCTCGATCGATTTATAGCATTGTTAAGATAGGGTTTTATCGATCGGGAGCATTCGATAACGATTCAACGATCGACCCGCAGGTTGGAACTTCGCTTCGAATCGAGAGAGCGGAATGTTGACCGGATCGATATCTTGGATCATCCCGGGAGGGATCTCCCCATAGGAGAGGTATACTGCCGTGCTGAGGGAAAACGCAGTATGAACCTTCAGGCGTTGCCAAGTTTCTTCGATAAAACAAGAATTTTCTGGAAAAATTATGAAAATTTCCTTTCCAATTTTTAAGTTAATTTTTCTCGCAATTTCATTAACAGTTCCTGAAAATTTCAAGAAAAAATATTCGTATATCTCTTCAAAAATGAACATTTTATCGAAGGAAATTTTGGCGACTCTCGAATGTGCATACCTTTCTTAGCTTGGCAGTACTGCCATGTTAACGAAAAACGCCGCATGAGCATTCGAATGTCCCCATATCGGCTTTCACTTCCAAGCATTACACAATAAAAAGGGACCTGGGAATATTTTTAGTAGTTATAGCTAAATAAATGGTACCTACCTCCTTGTGGAAAAAATTGAGAGAAAATATGCTTGAATGACTCCTCGTCGACCATTCCTGTCGGGCATTCCTGAAAATATTAAACCGCAGGGTGAAAATTTTGATTCATACTTAGTATTTCTCCCTTATTCGTTTCAGTTTTGAAATTCAATTTTGTTCCCTCTAACTTTTTATTACTATTTCCTCATTTAGGAGGAGCCACTTACATGCTCCTAACACCGAAACGTTGAATGTTGAGATGAATTAAAACTTTGTCTCAAAGTTGAATCTGCTGTTCTGTCCAGGAGGATAGAAACGCCTTCAATTCGAGTGATACTTCCAGCATTGCCGGAGAGTTCGTTTAGTTGCGTGACCTAACTTAACCCAACCTGACCGTTGCGATCGGGTCGATGACGGGTCAAGATTATAAAACTCAGGCAAATTCAATTTCTGCAAAGACAAATTTTGTTCCAATGCCCCGAAATTACTTTTAACATATTATTTGTTTAACAAGGAAACTTATCACATTGTTTTACTCGACGTCTTGGTGAATTTGTGTCACTTTATAGGTTTGATAAGTAAATGCTATCTTGGCTCCTGTTCGATCGATTTTTGTAACATTCGGTATTAAAGGGTATTTTTTGATAGGAAACTAGAATTTTTAGTCAAATTTTCAATGCACCAAAATCTGAGATGGCGTACGCAGCCTGAAGCACTATATTGCTCTCCCAAAATGATTTATCCTTGCAATCAAGATACGTTTTTTTTTTTTTTTTTTTTTTTTTTTTTTTTTTTTTGTTTATTTTTGAAATCAATTTACCTTCAACTAATATAAACCTTGATGAAGACGTACTTTTTAACACCGATGTGTTGAAACTCCTTATTTCATGATTTTAGACGCTTTCTTGAAACAGGAAGAATATTTTTGCTTCTCTACAGATAGAGGGAACCTTTTGGATTATATTTCGCCGAAAAAAACTACTAATGCTGGCTTATTTGAAAGGGGAAAAAAGGCTGTTAGTTTCCTTAAGCAGCTAGATGCTTTCAAAAATGAGCCGGAAATAGTTGTTCCTTATTGAGAGGAATATATATTCTATATTTTAAAACGCACTAAAATTCAAAACTTTCACACAAGCATTTTTCAATTCATCTAGCAATTTTTGACAAATGCAGGTTTTACATGTGATCTCTTGTTTGGTTCATTTATTGTAAAAGTAGAGGAATAAATTAACTATGCCATTAGTTAATGATTCTAATGGACTTGAAAAAAGTCACTGCATTTCAAAGGAGGAGAGGATGTAAAAATATCTGATGCTGATGATTATGCTCCCAAAAATGACTACTTTTGCATACGATGCATTGCTCTTGATACAAACGGTTTGATAACCGAACAACAGTATCGTGCAGAATAAAGTGACTCTTACGGGATACAATTTTACTGGCAAGAAGAGAATATTCAAGTTATATTGGATTGCCGTTGAACTTGCAGTAAGTATGTGATTGGGGTGTCTAAAAAATATCAAACAAGATTTTTGGTTGTCCCTCCAAAGCTTGAGTAGGAACAAATCTTATTTCCATCCCAATAAAACTTGGCAATTTCACGTATCAAAGTGACACACTACGATGTTGGTGAGATTTGATCAACGTTGTGAGACTCACCTGTTTAAATCCTCTGTAAATAAGCTGGATTTCCTTTTTCGTGAATTTCGTGCTTTTGGTGAGTTTACCAAGTTCCTCGACCCTGTACCTCGACACGTGAATATTGAATTCGTCCAGCTCCTCTTCTGCAACAGAAATTCAATATCAATGTTAATTGATTTGTTTGACGCAACTTCATTTCGAACTTAACTAGGGAAAAGCAATCCATGAAAAAACATAGTTTTATAGAAATAAAATATTACAAATTAACAACTGTTAATTTCTTATCAATTGTTACCGCTGAAATCTGTTACCTCATCTGAAATTTAATTATGGCCTTTGTGATTTAGACTTTGTGACCCTAACGATGAAACGCTTGCTTGGAAAAGCTTCGGTCAAAATTTATTAATAAAATGTAAGTTTTTTAACGGAAAATGTTACATTATTTCTAGCACTTGATTACACTCCAAATACGAGGGTCATCCAAAAAGTAAGTTTCCCTACCTTGTATCTTCCGAACGAAAAGAGATAATTCAAATCAGTAAAAAAGCACATATTAGGCATACTCTAAGCTTTAAAACAAGCTCAAGTTTTTGAAAATTGGTTAAGGGGTTCGCGAGTAAACTTAATTTTACTGAGACAACCTCCTGTCGCCGCGTGCCCACCTCCGGGGTCATAGGGTGCGCGGATAGTCGATTATTGAAGACTCGGGTTATCGCCTCTATACATCACATCAACAAGGAATTTTAAAGATTTCATTGAGTAGGCCTTACCTTACTTTTTGACACAGTCTTCACATCTTTTTTGATATTTCTGGTATCATCATAGCAGCTTCTTGATGCCTTCCGCGTAGAAGCTTTCGCCTTGACTCTGAAACCAGTCATTGACAGCGATCTGTATCTCTGAATCGGTTGAAAATCGCTTCCATCGTGGAAGTTATTCCACTCGGGAACAAATGAAAGTCACATGAAGCTGAAGTACGAAAGTTTGAAGGATTGGGGGAAAATTTCCCCACGCAAAGCAACTGATTTGGGAGTGCAGATCGCTGTCAATGACTAGTTTCGGAGCCAAGACGAGATCTTCTACGCGGAGGGCGTCAAGAAGCTGCTGTAATGATACCAAAAATGTCAAAGAAGATGTGGAGACTACGTCAAAAAATAAGGTAACTACTACTAACTACTACTAAGGTAGTTACTCAATGAAAACTTTAAAATTTTCCTGTTGATGTGATGTATAGAGGCGATAACCCGAGTCTTCTATAATCGACTCTCCGCGCATCCTAACCCCGGAGGTGGGCACGCGGCGACAAGAGGTTGTCTCAGTAAAAGTAAGTTTACTCGTGAACCCTTGAACGATTTTCAAAAACTTAGGCTTGTTTTAAAGCTTAGAGTATGCCAAATATGTGCTTTTTTACCGATTTGATTTATCTCTTTTCATTCGGAAGATGCAAGGTAGGGAAACTTACTTTTTGGATGACCCTCGTACCAATATATGCAGTGCTACTACACTTTAGACATTGTGTAATACAATGTTCGATTGTTCGCTGAACTTGAGAAATAAAATAAGTATACTTATATCTAAAATATTACACATTTGTTCTGTTGAATCTCTGTTTGGAGATACGTCCATTCTGCTAAGAAAAAAGTGAAAAAAAGGATGATACCCTTATAAGCCTTGAAAATTACGCAGAACCAAAAAACTGACAAAATTCAGAGCAATAAAAGGAAAATCATGGTAAGAAAAAAAATCGCACTAAATGAAGAAATCGATAACGATTCTCTCCTCATTTCTCTGAATTTGGCCAATTTTTTGGTTTTGAGCGATTTTTTAGACTCATGCATGCGCAGGGGCGTCCTTTTTTTGGCTAAAAATTCAAAATCTGCCAAGATTTTTGTAACAATCGAAGCGATGTATCGCACGCCGGTTCGACTACGCCAGGAACAGTAACGAATCGCCTTAAATGTATTTAAGGTTGCAGTCTTATTCGCAATTTTTGAAGATGAAGACGAGAGCAGAGAGCCCCTTCAATTCTTGCGCTCTGCATCCCGCATAACAAACGAGCGAATGTTAACGAAGCGCATTATTCTGTGCGTGTATGCAGACTTGTCAAGTGTCAAGTATCTGCGGTCCCTGACATTGTCGCCACTGAATTGAAAAACTTCGGATTCTCCCACCAGCGGCAATGCGAAATATTTTTGCGCACAAATTGGTGGTATCGGTGGCCCGTTGCGAAATAATAATCCTCTCTCATCTGGCATTATTTCATTATTTCCCTGCAGCGTCCTTGAATTTGCAGCTACTGCAAACTCCCATGCACATTCAAGTGTCCTTGTCTCCGTCCGCTTGCCCACGAGTAACAACTGTTTTATTTTTTATTTTATTTTATTTTGATGCAGTAACATTTTATTAGATAGTTACAACTTGAAAACGAGGTCGATAGCGACCGCAGCCAAAAGGAGAAGAATAATTTCCTATTTACAATTATGGGTCTGTTAAAGCTGCAGCTAGAGGGAAAAGAGGAGAAATTAGCTTACAGAAATTGGCTCAAAAATCACGATGAGCGCTTCGGGAAAGTTTTAAATAAACTTCTGGCTTCACAATCTCCTATACTCGTATGAGATGAATTTTAGGTTAATTTGTCTCTCCTTTCGCGGCTTGTGTGTTCTAGAATATTCCTCATTGGCCTAACTTCCACAACCTCAATTCCTTGTTACAATGGGTCAACTTTTGGGGCTCCAATATATCCTAAAACTCGCCGACCAATCAGAGAGTGGCACACTTTTACTGCAGTAAAATGATTTAGATGGCAATGGAGATGTTGCGTGTGTGAAGAACTTGCGATTTGACCGTTAATTCCTATGTAAAAGTTGGCGAGAAACTGGATGGTGCCACTGGTTTTCTCTGAAATCAACTTCCAAGCTCAAAAAAAGCTCTCAAGTTGAGGCCAAAATGGAGGGGATATCCCACGCCATTCTGAGAGTCCACCTCTACATCAAGACAATTTCTCCATGCGAAGATAGGGAGCAAATACATTAGCAGGGCTGCCACTTTTCAGTTTTTGCAGAGTCCCCAAATAAAGTGGCAGCCCTGCTAATGTATTTGCTCCCTAGCTCTGCATGGAGAGTATGTCTTGATGTAGAGGTGGACTCTCAGGATAGCGTGGGATATCCCCTCCATTTTGGCCTCAACTTGCGAGCTTTTTTTGAGCTTGGGAGATGATTTCAGAGAAAACCAGTGCCACCATCGTGCTTTCTCACGAACTTTTACATAAGAATCAACAGTCAAATCGCAAATTCCTCACACACGCAACATCTCCATTCTCTCCCGTATATAGGTACTCCAGCTATCGGCTGATTAATTTTTTAAATGAAATGATTCTCTCTCCCGATACATGTTTGTTCGCGGTGGATCCACGAGTGAGCGAGAAAAGAGGGAGGAAAATCTCGGGCGCGTCCTTGGGAGGCAGCCGGAGAACCGGAAACCGGAAACCGGAAGCGCGGAGGACAGGAAATGACGCGATACAAATTAAAAAGGGCGCGAGGCGGAAAGAAAGCTCGCTTTTTGTTTCAAGCTCCTCCGACGAGCTGACATTGTGCCGGTCTTAAAGTATGTTAACTGCCTTCCTCGCGGAGCGGGATGCCACCAAAAACACGGCGCGTTTACGACTCGACACAACTGCAATGGTGTCAAGTTGCGTTGAAAACACCACGTTATTACGGTCTAACTAAATATATTTACTTGAAAAAATAAGCAGGGATTTAAAACATGGGTGAACAAGGTAAAACATTAAAATGCTGAGAAGCCGGATATTTCAAGCTGTTACCAGCACATTCTCAGCTGGAAAAACACAAACAAATTTTGAATATAATTTTTTTTTTTAAGAAAAATGAGTGGCGACCTGACCTCAGCCGTTTTCACGTAATAACCACTGATAACGGCTTTGGTCACTTGGTCAGATCGCCACTCATTTTTGTATTTATTTTTTCGTGTTTCTGCAGCTGAAAATGAGCTGGTAACAGCTCAAAACTTCCTGTTTTTTAGTGTTTTCTAATTTTTTAGCCTTGTTGACCCATATTTTAAATCCCTCCGTATTTGTTCGTACATTTTGGGTTATGTTTTTCTTGTGATTTATCGTTAACTTGAAAAAACATTGGCCTCTGGACAAGAGTATGAATTGAAGCATAATGATGTAAGTTTTCTCTTCAAAATTCCATTAAGGAAACCAACCCCACAACGGAGAGTCTGAAAACAAATTCTTGAACAAGATACAAGTGTTTACAATTTGCATTGGTTAACTGGCAGAATGGAGGTCCAGTTAACAGGAAGGAGACGAAGCTGCCAAAGGAGGTGCTTGATTGAGTTCCTCCCATGAGGAGACAAAGGGGATGCCCAGTGAAAGAGGGGCGATAGGTGGTTTCAAGTGAAATGAGGGAGTGCCAACTCCCTGACGGGTTGGAAGAACCGAGCACTGTGGCAGTTAGGCGTCGCAGAGCGCCAGAGGGCACTGCCTCTTTTCAATGAACGAAAACATTGCCAAAATCTTCAGTAAGATCGGAGAGGTTGGAGAATCGATCAGCAACATGATGAAATTATCACAGACACCTTGAAATTCTATGATGTATGGATACGTGCCGCGAGGCGCGGCAGGTGTCGAAGAGCGAGACAGCCACCGTATGAAGAGTTTGTGCATAAAATTTGCAGTCAAAGTACACACCGAACTCCATTTCCCCACGGAAACAGGATCATTTCCTCCGAACCTCTGTCATTTCGACAACGAGTTTTGCAACTATGTGCCAAACCCCTAGACGCAAATTTTGGCGTTACCATGTAGTGTTTACGGTGCATTGATACTCCACTTTATGTCTTTACGCCTGTCGCGCTACGGGCTGGTGAAATTCCACCCCGTTAAAATTAGCTGCGTAAAAGCGGGGTCGGAGGAACAGGTGAGGCTGAAGTGTCAGATTTCACTAAGTATCCTCTGTTTTAAACGAAAACTAGATCATTTTTCCACAAATTTGGCAACCAAGGATACCTCTCACGAGCACTTGGTTCATGTTCAAACTACTTCACGGCCGGACAAAGGGTTTAAAGAAACCTTTTTACGGCCTGCGTCAGCAGGTGAGCAACGGACCTCAGCTGTAGCCCC